TCTTGGCCCCGTGCCGAAATTGGGTAGCTGTTCTGAGGTCCTTGTTGGTGGTGCTTCCCAGGTTCCATTGATCGCCATTTGGCTCAAGACACAATTGAGGTTCAAGATCTGATGTGTGACTGCAGACCTACGTGATCGGCATTAAGAGCAAAACAACTGCTTGCGCCGCTTTGTCAGGACTACTGGTGTAACTATCATTCCTTCTTCCTTACAACGTTTACACGGGTTCGGCTATAACGGCATCGTCCGTATACACCTTTCTACGTGGTTGGTATTAAAGCTTGAGGGTTCGGTGCACAGCGTCCCACGGGACGTCACCTTGCCGTCTCTTGACAAGGTCTATGAGAAGATCAGGACCTTTTCCAGGGGCCGCCCACAAACCAGGACATCCATGGACTACGCACCACCCCAGAAGGGCAAGAACAAGTCCAAGGGCAAGGGGAAGTCCAGGGGCAAGCCTGGGAGCAAAGGGAAAGGTAAGCCCCCCCCAGCCGAACAATCAGGCCTCCAGGGGCAGTAACAAGCAGGCGGCCACCGATCCGAAAGGGAACCAGTTCTGTAACAACTGGATGCGCGGGCGCTGCCCGGGCAACTGCGGACGCACGCACAAGTGCAACCTCATCCTGGCAACGGGCCGCATCTGCCTGGGAGACCACCTCCCGCAGGACTGCCCGGGTTGACTAGGGGCGCTGACCCCGACCCCCCGGGGGGCCTCAGGTGCCGAGGGCCCTGATAAGGCCCGGGGGGGCGAGAGGGGGCGCAAACGCCCCAAGCAGGCACATGAGCCCCCTCCTGCAGGTGCCGAGGGCCCTGACACAGGGGGGGGACAGGCCAGGTGGCGGCCATCCTCGGCGGACCAAGGATGGGGACGGCAGAACCAGCGTGCACAACACCCTCGCTGGGGTCAGAACAACCACACAGCTGGCACAACGGCGGCGCCTCAGCCCCGAGCCACGGGTGCCGAGGGCCCTGAAACGGCAGGGACGGGACGGTTCCCTGCAGGTGCCAAGGGCCCTGACACGGGGGGCCGCGCCCAGCAGGCCCGATCGCCGGATAACTGGCAGCACACCGCAACGCCAAGGAACACGCCCAGGAGGCAGCCGATCCCACTTCCGGCGCCCAACATCATCAAGCAGGACCCGGTGGTTTTTTATACGAGCTCGGTTGGGCTGAATGAAGGGGGCCAGCGCCTTTCAGCTACCCCCCTGACAAGTCCCACGGAGCCGTCACCGGGATGGGACATCTTCCCGTGGATGGAGAACATCCCGGAGCGTCTGGTACAGCGGCTGAGATGGACACAGGGCACATCGCCCAAAGTTCCATCCAGTGGGCCCATCATTGTCCTGCTCTATGCAGGCAAGGAAGACCCAACTTCCTTGGACAGCTGTCTTCATGCCAACTACCCACACCTTTCCAGCATGGTGGTGGCGGTAGACATCCTACGATCGGGACCAAAAGGGAACCACGACATGCTCCAACCCGAGCTGTATGGAGCTCTCTGCACGGCAGCAAAGCAGGGCCGAGTGGTCTTCATTGGACCATCCTGCGCCACATACCAAAACCGGGGGCCCCCACCCCGGTGCGAGGGCGCACTCGAGAGACACTTTGGGGCCTCCCACACCTGGACCAGGCCGCCCAGACTCAGCTTGATGATGACAGTATCCTCATTTTGAGGCAGATGTACATCACCAGCCTGGCAAGGGCCTCAAGAGCGGCGGTTTCTCTGCCAGGGCCAAAGTCCTTCTTGGAGCACCCGGAGGACCCAGTGGTGAGCAGCTCGCTGCCCAAAGCCAAGGAATGCTCATCCTTCTGGATCACGGAGGAGGGGCAGCTTTGGATGGAGGAAACTCCTTGACAGCAATCTCCTTCGACCAGTGCCGCCTGGGCCAGCTGGTCAAGAAGGCCACTACGCTGGCCACGGATCTCCCAATTCAGGATTGGGATCAAATGCGGTGCACGCATCAGTCACATGTGGGCACCAACGAGTCCTCGACTCTTAGCAGATACCCTTGGGATATGATGGCAGGCCTGGCCAAAGCCATCGCTGTGTCACTCGCAGCGCCGGGGCACATCCGGATCCCCTCACAATTTTCGGGAAACCCTAAGGAACCACCTAAGGGGCGGGGGTCGGACCCCCCGGAGGGCCCTTCCCCCCGGGGAAAACGGGGACCCAATCAGGGAGGCGGTCCCTCCTCATCACACCAGGGCCCAAAGCCCGGAGGCAAGAATGCCCCGAAGCCCCGCCAGCACGGGCACATCCACCTTGAGGCAGACACCGTAAGCCCTCGTGGAACAATGAACCCAGACTTCCCATCTCCCATGCCCCCGATGGCCGGAGATGCGGAACAACTGGGGAAGGAAGAACATGGGGACCAGGTCCTGGACCGCCCCAAATGCCTGCCCGCTTTCAGGGTCCCACGCCTCATTGACCGAGTTGCGATTGTCCAATTGGGTTTCCGCTCACGCCCCCTGGGGGATGGGGGGGGGAAACCTTCCCCGGGGAGGCTCAACCCCCCCTTTCGGAGAATTTCCCCTTTGGCTACTTTGGGCGCCCTGATCATGACCCTTACCCGGCCCTGGATTGACAAGGTCCGGATGTCCCTGGCATCAGGTGCCACCACACACCCCTTCCAGGAAGACCCCCCCCCGCCGGTGGCCCATGATAACTACCCAACGGCTGAACTCTTTGCCAGTGAAATCGAGGCAACCTTTTACGAGGAACGAGCCTTGGACATGGTGGACGGGCCCTTCACTCGGTCGGAGGCGGCAGAGAGGTGCCGCTGCAAACCGGAGGAACTTTGCCCGGGCCCCCTTGCGGGGATTGATGAGTCAGACAAGATCAGGACGATCTACGATGGCTCGAAAGGGGGAGCAAACGCACACATCCAGGCTCATACGGGGGAGAAGACCACTGCACCGATGGTTGGAGACTGCCTCCACGCCATCCACTGGCTCAGGACAGCGACGGACCATCCCCATCTACTTCGAGCCACGCTCTCGAGCACTGAGGAGAGACCTCGGGATGTTCACCAGCCGGTGCAGGGGCAGTCCCCAAATGCCGAGGGCCCTGACAAAAAAAACCCCACAGCACCAGCCTGCCCTCCAGGGCCGAGGGGCCTGATCGGGGCAGGGGGATGATGGCCTGGACGTCTCTCTGGGGTCGACACCCTCAGGGAAGGGACCACTCCCAGGTGCCGAGGGCCCTGATAGGAGGGCCCCCTTCCCCCCAACCCCCCCGGGCACGGAACGCCCTGGGGGGATCAGGGGGGAACCCCTGATGTGGCAGCCGCCGACACAGGGGGAAACCTTCATCATCCTCAAGGCGGATGTCACCAAGGCCCACAGGCGTATAAAAGTGCTCCCGAAAGACTGGAAATACCAGGTGGCCTGCATCCAAAACCGGTGGTGGGTCAACAGAGTGGGCACGTACGGCATGGCCTCGGCACAACTGTACTGGGGAAGAAAGGCATCCTTGGTGCTCAGACTCTTGTACTACATCTTCCCTCAGGTGGACTGGCACTTAGTCTTTGTGGACGACTACTGCTGGGTCCTCAGATGCAGCCGGGCGGACTGGGACGCCACAGCCATCCTGGCTACACTGCTGGCGCTGGGAGTCCCGCTTTCCTGGAAAAAGACGGCGCTCTCCCCGATCAATACCTGGTTGGGCTTTGTGGTGGACCCAATCACGCCCTGTGTACTGCTGGCTCCAGTCAAACACGTCATAATCCTGGCCACTCTTAAACGGCTGGCCCAGGGGGACATCTTCACCAGCAAGGAGGTGGAACAAGCCCTAGGCCGTATTCAATGGGCTACTTCGGCGTGCCCATTGACGAAACCTTTCCTCCAGCCCTTTTGGAGCTGGAAGAAGGCCTGCACCACTTCGGGCAGGCCACCGAAGCTGGTTCGTGCTCTGGCCATCCTTTTGGGGAGACTCTTCAACCAGAGGTTTCCCACTGGCATCTCCGTTTGCTCCCACACTCCCATGGACGGGGGCATCTGATGCGGGAGCTGGCAGACAGGCAGACCATGCATGGGTTGGTGGTTGGTGCTCGGACGTGCCCAACCCCGACAAGTCCCGAGTGAAGTGGTTCCAACACAGAATCACACCGGAGGGCGAGCCGTGGGCCTTCACTACTGGGGACCCGCAGCGGGCGATAGCGGCCTTGGAGCTCTTCGGCCTCCTCCTTTTGGTGAGGGCTGTTCTGCTTTGTGCAGCCGGCTCGGCTTCTCACACTAGGATTCTGGTTGCTAGTGATAACCAGGGAAACGTGTTTCCCTTCTTAACGCAGGATGCCCAAGCGGCCATCCTCATGGAAATTGTGTTAACACTGCATGACCACCAGGTCATGTTAGGACCGTCGCATGTGAAGCGCGACTTTAACACATGGGCGGATGAACTTACTCATCCGGACCCGCAATTTCCGACTGAGAACCGGGTCTTCCCCTCAGTCGAAAGCGAATTGATCAAGCTGATCTTCGCACTTTCCTTCCTCACCCATGATGCCGGGAGGGCATCCGGTGAGGTGGGAGGATTCCTCCCTCGCTGTGGGAGTGGCATCAATCCTACTCCCATCAGCTGCTGAGGGGAGCTGCCCAGTGGAGCTGGGCAATCCTCCCATTTTGGCACTAACCCTTATGCGGCAAAAAGGAGGCACCGTTTTGCGAATAAGGCCTCAGTAGCACCAGAGTGGTGCTTTGAAGAGTCAGATGAAACTCTTACCGTGATTTCAGTCACGAACATCATGCCAAAACAAGGGTGTGGGTCAAACATAGCCCAACTCGAACCCTAAATGGAAACAAGTTGACGAACCCCCGCGTCCAATTCCTGGTTTCCTTTTTCACCCATACCCACAAACGGGATCATCTTGGCACAGGTAGCCTTTGGACCTTTGGCCAACAGCAAACACTTTGGTCGCTGACACCGTGGCACTCGCCAGCCTCCGCACGGGGCGCGCCGGACCTCAAATCCACGGAGGCCGGGCGAATCGCGGATCCGCGCAATGATTGGCTGGGTCGCCAGCAAAATAAGCTCAGGTGATATCCCCAACTGCGGTGCTATTGTTAGTGCTCGCACCCCGCAGCCCTCGCAGAACCTCGTGGAACCCCGGTGGAACTTTGGTGGAACCCTGGTGCAACCCTCGTGGAACCTTACCTCAGGGCCGCCCCGAACCACCCCGGAGCCTATCTGGGCTGAGACCCCAAAGCTTTCAGCTGTTGGGAAAAAAAACAGCTGTGGCCTCGTGGGTTTTCAACATGAGCCAGGGGGAGTTGCTCATCTTTCTCTCCGGGAATTGCAAGAATGATAGGTTCACTTCCAGTCCTCCGAAACCCTTCGAGTCTCTGCGAGATGGGCCCCTTCGGATTTTTTTTCTGAACGCATTCCGCGCGGCCGGCCGCCGGCCATGGCCGGCTTCCGAGGCGGCGGAGAGGAAGGCGGAGGCTGCAGAGCAGAAGGTGGCGCAACTGGAGGCGGGCCATCCGATCGCGAGCTTCGGGAGGTCTCCCCCTGGAAGCGCACGCACGGCTGGCTGAAAAGCGACTTTGGTGCCTTTTGCCACGGGATGTTAGGCCTCTTTCACTTTTTGCCAACTAGTGGGGTTTCCGCATTAAACCGCGAAAAGTTAAGCTTTGGCAGGGGAGCAGAAAGCAGCCGAGGGAAAGGTCCTCCACCAGAAATCTGTGGGTGGTCCAGTGGCGAGCGAGCGATGGGGAGCTCGCCTGCGGACAGGGACTAAGAGGGGTCTGTGTGATTGGAGCATGGCTTTGCCGCTTCCTGGGGCTCATGTGACATGTAGAGGGGAACCTCCCGGTTTGCGAGCCTGCCCAGCACGTCTCGGTGGTGGATGCGGTCATCATCGACAATAGGTGTCATTCAGTGCATCACTTGGTTGATGCGTCTCTCCCCAAGCAGTGGGTTCCAGCAGATGAATATGGCAAGGAAAGGGAGTTGCGCGAGCTTTTGGGCAACTTCCGTGAGCAAATCAAAGCCTGGGCCTTGTCCATACCGCACTGTCCGGACTGTACATGATTTGGGATGAGAACGTCTACCGATTGGAGCCATGTTGGCGGATGAACACCTGAGAGACATTGTTGACCCGAAAGCTTGGCCAGCCATCCCCTTAGGCTTTTAGCTTTGTAGGGTTTAGTGGTAGTTTCCAACTAAACAACTAAAGGTGAAAGCTTTTGGCAGGGCATTGAAGGGGAAGAACCCAGCAAGCGTGGGTGCAAGACATCACAGGGAGTGGAATACCATTCAACGTGGTATCACCCCTTTCTTACGGACAATGACATAGGTCTGAGGGGTATGCAACAAACGCCTCCCAAGACGTTTTTGAGAATCATGAGGTTCTATTGGAATGCCACATGAACTCCCAGGATGTACTCAACCAGGGGTGTACTCCCCTACAAACTGACATGAGTATGGGTCAAAATTAAACCAACAAAAAACCGCAGGTTTTGGTCCTTGTTTCCAGTTACCAGAGCAACCCATCTTGGGCACCAATTTTTGACCCGCAGCCACTTGGAACCCCCCCAAAAAGCCGGGCTCTGCGTGGGGCGTCGCTCGCAGACCTGACTCGTCACGCAGGCGAGGCTGCGGGAGCACCGCAGCCAGACTGCTGCTAGGGCCTCTGGGGGGTGGGTGACCTTTGACAGGGCTCCTGAAAAGATACATTCTTGACTGCTATTGGGTTGGATCTTTAGACTTTAACTTTTTTTTGGAAATCAAGGGTTTTCCACTAAACCCGCAAAAAGTTCAACTTTTTTTTGCAGGGGGGTCAACAGCAACCAAGCATTTTACAAGCCATTTGAAACATGGCCTTTTCCACCAACATAAGGGGAAACCACCATTGACAAGGCAATGTTCAGGTGAATAATGTAAGGATCCCTGTTTGACCAATTCGGTGAGGGAGCATAGGTGTCCTTTTTAGGTGTCTATTTTTCACCTATGTGACGGAGCCCCGAGAAGGGGCGATGGCTTGCAAGGAAGCAAGAAGGTGAAGGTCCAGCCTGTTTTGGGTGATATTCATTGTAACTTAAGCTAGGTTGGTGCCTGTCGAAATGATGTCCAACTCAGAAATATGCCCTAACATGGGTGAGGGAAACCACGGAACAGGTTTCCAACAGAACCACCGCCCAAGGGATTCAAGCAAACGATGGACGCTCAGGAGCAGTTTCAGAAGATCCGGGACTCTACAATGACGGATGTCGCCGGATCCTCGATGAAGGGCGGTTTGTAATCATGACCCACATGAGCCACTTGCTGAACACCGGGTAGATGAAGGTTAAGGGAGAATCCCCTTGCCATGAACGGGGCAGTTCCAGCCGGAAGTAGGTGCGGGCGCCTCTTGTTTCTTTGCATGGTTCTGGGTGGACAATTTAAATACCAGGTTTTGATTCTGACCCACATGTTCTTGTTCTAATTTTCGCAAGGGCTAAGTATTCGCTGCGTGGCTTGCCGGGCACAAGGAGTCGCTGATAAGCAGGTGTTGCTTTGTTCAATAGATGATGTCATCAACAGGCGAGCGTTCCGCATGGATTTTGCCCGTTCAGTGCAGCGGATCGCCTTGCAGGGTTGTCGGGCCGCATCTTCGGCACGGCTTTTAGGCGGGCAACCTCATTCATCAGCTCCAAGCGCAGCTCGAGGACGAGGGTATCCTTGAAATATGTGGGTTGCATGGCTAGGTGTTCTTTTTGGGGATGGGTGGGAAAGTGGTTGGGGGGAGAGTTTTTGGGTGTGTGGGTGGGTGGGAGGGTATTGGAGATTTGCAATTGCCAGTTGGTTGTGGGCCAGGGGGAGAGAGGTTGTGATGCAAATTCCCGAACATTTCATCCTTTTTGAGGGGTGCAGTAGCTCTGGAGAACCGATTCTCAATGAGGACAAAGCTCCCGTCAGTGTCCACCGCCAGACTTGTTCAAGGCTTCATGTTTGTGGGGCATATTTTGCCAAACGGTGTTTGCACAAGTCAGGCACAGACAGTCACGGAGCGCTTGAAGGGTGGCCGTGTTCCAGTGTTGCCACCAAGGTAATTGTGGTGAATGCACGCCTGGTTGATTGATTGGGGTGGGGTGTCCTTTCTGATCTGATCTGGTGGTCCAGATCATTTGTGAGGAGAACAGCCCTCCATCAATTGAGGTTTCATGCAATTGGTGATTTGGGGTACCCTTTTTCACATGAAAGTGGACAGGGGGCTTCCCCAAAAGGAAGGTGGTCTTTAGCTCATTTGCCCAAATCCGACCTTTTACCTTCAAACCTTCTGGTTTTCCAATGTTGCCAACCTTTAGCCATGGCCCAAGGTCAACCTATTGCAACCATCACTAGTCACTAGTCATGGTCATTCTTTCTGGGTCCCTAAGGGGAAGTTCATAGCTCGCCCTGGCACGAGCATCGCTCCCGGCGCCGCCGTCGCGGCGGCCTCGGCAGGATTTCAAGGACCGTCAGGCCGAGGCCCTCCGCGCCGGCGCGCAGAACGCCGCCAGCCTCGCCAGCCTGGAGGCGGGCCAAAGGGGTCGGCTGTCTGTGGAGGGTTGCGAAATCCGAGACCGCACCACTGGGAAACCATGGTTGAAACCATAACGTTTGTTGGTATTTACAAGGGAATCATCATTCTAGGGTTTCTTAGGTGGTGCAGGATTTCGTCCATCCACAGTAGGGAGCTGTGGCAAGCATTTCCGGGTGGTTCCCAGCCATCCCCCTGGCTTTTGAGCCTTTTTTGTGTTTGGTTACTAGTTGATTTTCCATTTAAACCCGTGAAAAGGTTAAACTTTTGGCGGATCTGAGGACGGCCCGGATTTGTGTATCCCCTCCAGTTCTAACCAGGACATGTCCCAACTTCAAGTTCCAGGCAGGTCCACTCCAGCGCGCCACACAGGACTGGCCCATCTAAAACACCGGAAAGATGAGAGTACAGGTCGCAGGTGAAGGACCACGACGCTTGGGGTTGTTCTGAAATACATATACATATATATATATATATGTATATATATGTATGTAAAAATACATATACACATATGAATATGTTTACAATCACTTTCACTGGGCCTGCTTTTGACTCATTGTCTACAGTTGAGGTTTACCAAACCTGGACCAGCTCAGAATCAACCGCAAACTTGATTTTTAGGTCTTTAGGGGGAGGCTGAGGTGGTTTATGAAGTCATTTTTTTTTGTTTCTTCTATGGGTCAACCTTGAACAAGGAACAGAGGGCAACCCTCAATCTAGAAGACCCTCCGTTGACACCTAGATGGGAATGGGTACGGCTTCCCACCTCCTTTCCACAACCCTGTACCCTCAATCTACACCCAGCGTGAAGCCCTGGAATACATGAATGCGTGTCATGATCAAATGTTATGCCCTGAAACTCAATCAAAGCTCTTCCCAAAAAACCCGGGCCTCCATTTTTTCCCCTGGGTACTATAATTCAATCCAAAAGGGCGCGTCCTTTTTTGAGTCGGCACCCATTGTGTGGTGTTAAAGGACCAAAGGAACCCCCCGCGATACTTGGCGATGAATTATAATAAACCACCTCACAAGTGGTGGACATGAATCCCCAGCTAAATGATGTTCACCAAAAGGGTCCCTAGTTAAACCTCATGCCCATACGGGTACCATCCCCTTTTCACACGGAACCTAGCGTTCGGGGGGTCCTGGTTTGGAGCATTTTCGCATCAAAAATCAAAGTGGTGGACAAGAATTCTTAGCTACATGTCCACCAAAGGCCCGCCAACCCATCAAAAAGTGTACCTCTTAGAACTTCAGCGGGACCCATTTCGGGGGTCGCCGGGCGGGAAACCGCCTCCGGAGGCGGGCCTCGAGACCTGGCGCCAGCGCCTGGACGGTGCCTTCCAAGAGCCCGGGGCTCAGCGCCGGAACCACCGAGGCACATCGCGTTGGTTTTGTTTTTTGCCGCGCGAGGTTTTTCTTCCGGGTCAAGCTTTGGGTCTTTGGCTAAGCACGTGCTTTTCTTGAGTGCGGGGGGGTCAAAGTTAGGTCCACTCCCTGGACTTGGACCTGGACTTGGAGATCAAAGTTGGGTTCTTTGGGGGCTAAAAGCTGGTTCAAGAATCACTCCCTGAGTCCCTGGACTTGAAACTTTCTGGGCTTGGGGGGCCCGTTTTAGTGGTAAATAGGGTACAAATTAAATTGGTTCAAATCACTTCCTGAGACCCGGGACTCGGACTTGAAAGTCAAACTTTTTGGGTTTGGACCATAGTGGTACATATTCAAAGTCTTCTTTTTTTTCTGGCCCATCCACTCCGGAAGTGAGTAAAAGTTGGACCCACTTGCTGGTGCGAACGAATGAGAACCAGCAAGACTCTTGGGGATCGGATCGAGGCTTCCTTGCGGTTTTTTGGGAAACGCCGAGAGGGGCAGAGAGGTGGCAGCCGAAAAAGGAGTTGCGCACCCGAAAAAGAAGGAAAAGCAAAGGCTTGGGCTATGAAGCGACAACGAAAGGGCCTGGTGACTGGCCAAAAGGGACAACTTGGGATCAGTACATTCAACCCGCCCGCCCCTTCGGACCTCCAAGCAGCTCCGCGATTCCGCAAAAATGCCGGAGGGAAATCGAAGGGGATGGTTGAAATCGGCACACCCATCGTTTCTTCGTGTGATCGCAGCAGATGGCTTCCGAAAACCAGAGGGGTTGACAGCTGGGAGTGTCCAGGCATGCGGGACGCAGGAAGCTAGGAGATCAACAGACGCTGCGCGACCAAAACCCAGGCTACAGTGGCTAGCTTGGAATGACCGGTGACGGCCAGATGCAGCTTATAGGAAACTCGAACGACACCATTCTGATGTGGCTGTACAACTCCTATTGCACAAGACGCATAGACATGCTGTCAGAAAGCATCCGGAGTGCTGAGAGTAACACCAGTGGAGTTGCGACAACGCGTTTTTCCTCCCGCAGCAGTTTCCTGGCCGCAGGAAGAGCACATCGCCACTCCCTGCCATGTGGGGAGTGCGCGGCAAGATCAGTGCCCCGCATGAGCTTTCTGCCACGGCTTCCTTGCAACCTGAAGCCTTGCGAGGGATCCCCAGTCGTAGGCCCCCCGCCAAAGGAGCAGCAGGTCGGGGTGTCGGGGCCATCGGGTCGAAGCGCGCGACGTGAAGTGTGGCTTGGGGATGCCAGGGATGCCAGGCACTCGAAGGGTCCGAGCCACTGAGGTCCGAGCAGCGCGTTGCCCAGGAGGCGGGCTGTCCGAGGTTTCAGCTGGGGAGTTAGGATCCATCTTGCATTTGACCAACGACAATGAGAGACTGTGAACTCCTCACGGGGCTTTCTTTACTCCAGCAATCTCAGTCATTTTCTCAGCGAAGCTGGAAGGGACGGTTTTGGAACAAACGGACGCAACAAAGCACGGAGATGCTGAGAGCCGGTCAGGTGGAGAAGCGCCTGCGGGGCGTGCAGGAGAGTGAGAACCGGTTCGGCGAGAGAGAGTTCGCTTCGTTGAAGGCCATGGGTTTGGGAAGGCAACGACCCACAAACACATATCATGTTGATGTGATTATGATAAATATGCAACATGTCGTAAACCGGTGGCTGCAACAACTTGACTTGTGTCATAAAACGGTGGCTCTTATCATATCAACTTGATTTCTGCATGTCATAAAACGGTGGCTGGGCACTTAAGTGAGAAACAAATACCCCCAGTTGCCCCAAGCACCCCCCCTCCAATCCCTAACCCCTGGGCCCGTAGCAAGTCGATAAGGACCGGCGTGCCTTGGTTCTGGGGCGCCGTTTTTTTTTTTTTTTTTTTTCCAAGCCGATGGCTCCCTGGAGCTCGCAGCAGGGACCCCCGAGAGGGTTTTCATCATGGAAATCTGGCCTCAGATCTGAGGCTCTTCGCACCTGACTTTAAGCCGTCGAGAAGCTTGATCAGTTGTAGGGGCCTGGATTCTCACTGTCCGGATCAACATTAACGTGTAACCAAGAGAAATCGAGAAACAGGGTCCCGACATATTTTCCAAATTGTTGTTGCTTTGCCTTTTTTTGGCAGTGGGTACTCGGCAAATCAACATGGCACTCGAACGGGGGGCCCCAAAGAAGATTCCTTTAAACAAGATGACGAATTTCGGAGGTTCCATGTTCATCAGGCTTTTCAGAGATGCATGTCCAGTGACATAACCACACTACAATTCATTGGACTGCATGCTTTGCGAAATCAACGTGGCACCACGAAGACCTCGTCTTGAGGATTCTCTTTCGGGACTGTTTCTTTTGGGCCGAATGCCTCCCTCTGTCGAACATGCCGACAGCTTTCCATTTTCTAAGTGTTGGCCCCTCATTGCTCGTTTGCAGAGCTATTGAAACTCCTTGCATGTTTGACAATTTCCCGCAAAGAAGGGTCCGCAGAAAGAATGATGGAAGTACGCGCAGGCACAGTTTGGTGCTCCAACCTCTTTGGGGCCTGCGTTGAATGTGGGACCAAAAGAGGTTTTGTCAGCCCCACATCCGCGCTATTTGCGCAGATTCAGCCCAGTTTCCACTCATTTGCATGGATGCCAAGCTGCTGACGGGATCCCCCACGCCCTCCCAGAGTTGCGACGGGATCCCCCACGCCCTCCCAGAGTTGCCAGGTATGGGGCTGGCTTTGGCCTGGTTCCACACTTTACCAGTGCCAACCGTGAATCCAAAACTAGGTCCCCCAGCTAGGTGCCCTTTTGCCCCTTTTTTGGTTGGCAGGGTTCCCCTACCAAAATCGCTGGACCGAACCGGGGCATCCGACCGCTCGGGCCCCGGGCATCCGATTGGACTGCTGGATTCACCGGTTGGCAGCTGAGGCATCCGTCTCTAGGCCCTCCAGTAGAGAGAGGCTAGAATAAGTTGGTACCCGATTTTTTTCTGTGTGTCTATTTTTTTTGTCTGGCAGGACCGTCTGGACAAGGAGCTGAAATCTCGCCCGGGCCTGGCCTCGGAGGCTCGGGGACGCTTCTCGGAGAGGGACCTAAGGGCTGCCAGAGGCAGCCCAAGCGGACAGCGGCGGGTTTGAATCAGTTTCGCAGTGGGTGTCCACCCATTTTAGGGCTTTTAGGTGGGGAAACCCTGTAAAATCAGCCAATGATATGTGTGTTTGTTTGGTTCCTGGGCAAGCAAGTGGACAGGAAGATCCTGTCTCAAAGTTTGTGCTCCTGCGTTTCTGTGAAAGCTTACAGGTTGAGTTTGTCCAGGGATCCAACATGTCAGAAATTCTGACTGCCTGTGAAGACCGGCGCAAAGACTGATTGCAAAACGCTTGTTTCAACACTGCAACGTGGGCGTCCCATCCCCACCCCCTTGAATGGGAACTCGGGGGGGCTTGGAATTCCGAAATTCTATCTCTGATAATTTTATTTGACCATCTTTGGCGGCTGAGGCTGAAGCCACGTGACACCGTGGGATTCAATGGACAACAGTGACATACATGCAGTGTGCAGAGACTAGGACACCTGGAATCATCCTTAGCCTCGGATTGCTGAGCGTTTCACAACGAGTCCAATTGACAGCCCGCCAGATCACTTTTCGTTCGGCCAAACTTTATTCCAGTCCAGACCCCTGCCGGGGCCAGGTGGAAGGGAGGCCTTGTGGCTTTGCGCTTCTGCTCGAGAAACCGTGATGGTCCTCAAAAAAATGATGTGTTTGGTGCGTACAAATTGACCCATTTTCTCTCCGCTTGTTGTTCAACTTGGGGCAGCAATGCTGGCAAGACGCCAGTTGTCCAGCCTGCTTTTCAGTTGTTCAACTTGCGCAGCAGTGCTGGTATGGAGCAACTTGTCTAGAGTCTCGTCTAGGTGGCAGCAATGCAGAGCCAAATGAAGCTACATGTTTGTGCTGAGCACACGTTGTTGTTTTCCTTCTCGCAAAGCACGTCTTGGGTGGCCTGAAGATTAGGCCGCCAAGCCAAGAGTTGTCCCCCCCACACTTTCCACTGGAGGGGTTGGCCTTTTGATCGCCGCACCTGGTGCATGTGCACATACTTACTCACAACATCTTTTGTTTTTCTTCATGAAGTATATAGGGATCCTTGATGTTCTAGGTGGGCGTGTAGAACTCATCATCAGTGCTTGCAGCCCAGCTTTTCGTGTGGCTGATGCAGAGGTTGGTTTGGTATTGGTTTATTTTTTTTTCAGCCAAGCTTAGCGTAGGCACTCAGGAAGAAACATGGAGGGGGATGTACAAATGTAATGCGTGTTTTTGGTTTGAGGGTACATGTTAACATGTGGAGGCAACACCTCGGAAAGAGGGACCCTTCAATGAGACGCTTGACTGAGCGCGCTTCACTCACGTCAGGCTGAAGACGCCCGCAAGAAGATGGAGAAGGTGAGCTCGGAGCTTCAACAGCGAGGGGCTCGAGGGTGGGAGGACGATGGCTCCATCTCCTTGGTTTTGGTGGTTTGTACATCAGCTCTTGGTTAGGTTTGATTGAGCTTTCTTTGGGGTGTCACGGAACATGGAAGCCTGGGACAAGAGGGAAAGACATGCACACCCAAAGTGTCTTGCAGCTGGGGAACCCTTCATCCAGCTTTGAAGACAGCGTGCACGGCAGCTCGGCTTCCCTGCCTTTGTTTCACGGACACGCTGGGACCGTTCGCTGTAATTGTGACCGAGATATCAAGTTTTCATATTTTGTATCAGGATGTCATCTATCCGTTCAATGATTGAACCATTGCAAGTATCCTATCTGTATTGTCAGAAACACTCTCGCTCCGCAAAACTGGTCACGGGAAGCGTCCTTCCTTGAGCCAGGAATATCAAAGTGTTCTTTAGGAGTGTGAGAGACTTGCTGTTCAAGCATGTATGCACATCTTGTGTGCACGTAAAACCTACACTCATAGAGGTATACATTTGTCTGTACATATATTCGGGCATACGTGTTCATATAGAACTACAGGGGCTTGTATACTTACATGTACTGTGTGTCGAACATGTTCGATGTATGCAGAGCCTTCTGTACGGAAGGACCCATGCTGCTGCAGCTTGCTTGTCCAGACATGAAGCAAATGGCCCCTTAACACATACCATGTGGCCATTTGAAGCCGCCAGGCCAAAAGGAATGTTCAGGTGGACAACTATT